ATTCCTGAGATTTTTGGATCCTGTGAAAAATGATTTATGTATACACGTCCAACAATCGCTCATTTTCGTTTTCTTTTCTCACAAAGTCCATTTTCACCTCTAATTGTAAGAGACTTTTTCTTTTTTTGTATCGTATATTTGCGATTTATTAAACCGTTATTAGAAATAAACATCAGAATGAATCTCTACGTCTCATTTCATAAGACACCGCGATCTATAGTTTGGGATAATGTAAGATAAATCTAGTAAAACTCGGTCAGTTCTTTATCACCAACGAAAGAAATGATTTTCACTGTTTCGTTAATCCGTTGATTAAAGTCGTTAATTTTTACAGCTATATTGTTAGTGTGCAATTATCCCCGTGATTATACAATAATGAAGGTATATGAAGTTGTTACAGCGGACCCGGCTGCTCCTAAATAGCTAATTTCTTCTAATGAAGTAACCTTCGCGCACCAACGCCAGGCTCGTAATGGTTCTCGTTGCGAGAACGGAAGTGGCACGAGCGAAAAAAAAACCGCAGGTCTGGTCGCATAGTTAAAATTTTATGATCGCGCGTATCGTATTTACGACCGGCTAGAGCAAAGGCACGTGAATCGTCATTAAAAGTATCTTCAATGGCGCCGCTTTAATTAACGTCGACGAAATAAGTCGCGTGCTCTGAGGTTAATTATAGTGGCTGTCTATACCGTTTTCAAGATAACATATAAACAGACTTGTTTTGGTTCACCGTTGAAGGTTAATTGTTGTATTAATATAACAATGACTAAAAAACTTGCGTTGTCTCGCAAAAAAAGAAAATGATTACTCGTTAAAAAGAACATCAGAGCTTCAGTAAATATTATTGATTTATTAGTCCAAACGTGCACGCATTTATGTATTTTCAAAACATTTTAATTTAAAAGTTAAGTGAGACACCATTACGTGGTAACCTACTTTTGAGAATATTCCCATTAGTCTATTTACGAAGCATTTAACGATCTTTTATACAGGCTGTTTTTTTCCTTTTTTTTTTTTTTTTTGTATACACGTTTGAACTAATATATAGAAGAGATTAACATTTTTTCCAGCTAAAAATAGCTACCAATTTCAATAGAGATTCCTCGAGCGATATGGTTCAACTGAATACTGAGCGTGCATAAACCTCTGCTGACGTTTTCTGCGAGATACTAATTTCTTACATGGAAACGATCGTTCTTTTTCCCGGCAGAGCACGCATTCTGTATCAAAGCTCGTCAGAGAAAACGAGACCGGTCGAGACCGCTGCTTTTATCCGAGTGGTACAACAGGCCCTTGCTATTCCGAGACTCTATATTCTCATGTTCTGGGGGAGTTGCTTATGCCATGCGGGCGCACGATGCACTTCGTCCTCGTTACGTTCTTCCCCGCCCTCTCTTCTTCTTATGCGGATATCCCTTACTGAGACGGAGGTAATGGCGTAACCCCAACGGAAGATCCTCGGGGCATTCTTATCGCGAAATTCGCCTCGCGCAAAGCAACGTACTAATTTTTTTGCGTTCCATCGCGCTGTGCACCGCTGTTTGCAGCGCTGCTGCTCTGTTTGTAATAATACGACGTAATTAAAGGGCCGCGCGCGGGTTAATGGCACGTTTTTCGTCGTAGACATTAGACGCGCCCGGAATCCTTTTCTTTTCTTATTTCGTCTAGTTTTTCCCGCGTCAAAAGTACATCTTTTTCTCGCTAGAAAATCATCAGTATATCTTATCATGTAGTAAAAATCCTGTAATTTCGCACGCGATATCGGAATATAACGTCGCGCGTAACGTCGTCACGAGATTTGTCTTCTTTTCGCGATGACTTTTCAGACGTTTCGTAGAGGTAGAAACGCAAATTCTATGCAAATTCGAGCATCACGTAGAAGTTAGTTTCGCGGTGCTAACATAATATACTGCTGACATATTTCCGAGGCAAAGAGAGTATATGTGGATATCGTAGTGTGTTATCGTAGTCGCAAACCAACATTGTTGTATGAGTATTTTTTGGAAATATACAACAGACGTAGATGTTGAATTTTTTTCTAATGTTCTTCATTCTTTTTAATAACTTTGTAAAATATTTAAATCATCTCTGACTCAGGATAGATACCTATTTTCACACACTGTAAACTTTTTAGATATTTGAGGTAAATTCACATTTGCATACATACCGGATCTTAATTACGGGTTTTGGAGCATTCCGCGCATATTGCGGACGCCGCTGTGGAGATGAACCGCAGGCACAGCAAAATTACCCAAAACACTCGGGATAATTGCGGTTCCATGGAAGTCAATCGTTTCACTCACGGAAGTTGCAATTCTGTCAATAATTTATCGATAAAACATTGAATTTTCTAAAGTGCAAAATAAAATTCTCAGGAAAAAAACAGTTGTTTCGAGGAAAAAGAAAATGTTTGATGTCTCTTTTTCAAAAATGAATATCGTCCTATGTATTTGGTAATCTCTTATAAAACTTTGCGCACACGCACAAGTAAATACACGTAGCCGTTACGTTAACCCTGTTATTTCTGCCATATAAAATACGAACGTTGTGCTGTCTCCAGAGAAAATGGTAGCTCGTATACGGCGTCTTCCTTGTGGAACTACCACCTTGCAAAACACTTATCGTCGACAGCGACGTCACGCTACAATTTATAGAGATTAGCCCGCGAGAACTTGCGAATCGTGTGCCGATCGGAACGTCTACGAAACTTTTCTGTCGCGCTGTTATCCCCAAAAGACATAAAAAAGTCAGACGAGACGCAGGAAACAACATTGCAAAGGAAAAACGACAGTGGATACAAGATAAGAATGTATCTCGAGTGCAATGTCTCCTTGTCGCGCGCAAAGGTACAACAGAAGAAATCGTGAAAATCATATAACAGTATTTTTTTTTCCTACTATAAAATAACGTGAAATAAAAAATTTTTTTTATAAATACACCGTGCTTTCCAAACACATCAAATGTTGTCAGGCCAATAATATACGCATGACCTAGTTCGTATATCCATATGCATAACAAATAGCACTTATATATGTGCGTTCACAAATTATGGTGATATATATTGATAGCTTTCAATTTTTACGATTAAAAATGCAAAAGAGAAATGGCTATATCCGAGCAGTAATCATCCATTTTCACAACTTTATAGCGCATAAACGTAATTTTGCAGCCGCGAGCGTCAATTATTTATCACCATTTAGATTGCTTGTCACTCAATTTAATTTGATTTAAATATCAAAATAATTTTACCGTCGAAACAAACGAACATATTTATAAATTATTTTGTGCTCATTTTGTTTTCTCCTTAATAAATTACTGAAAACATCTTACATAAATTTGAAATTGCGTACGTCTAAAAAACAATTTGCAAAATATATTATTTACTTAAACAAGTGCAAAGTTCATTTAGTAAACGGAAATTATAACAAATCTGCAAATTGTTGTTTTAAGTTTCTTAAAATAACGCGTGAAGTAGATAATTATTACAGAAGAGAGAAATTTTTGTCGCAAGATTAAAGCAATGCTACGTAACTGATGCGAAATATTGCATACAACAGTCCGCCTATTATCGAGAATAACTAATTAACGAAGGATCGAATAAATCAATGTATTTCATGCATCGATGTGCAACACGTGGCTCTTGTGTAGATAATCATATTGCGTCAGGATGAGAAGTAATTATCTTCTCTCATATCGACGATATGTAATCATGCTGTCCTCGACATTAATATGATATTGAGGGTCTAAAGGACTGCAATGATACATAAATATTATTCTCGTACTCTCTCCATGTTGGACAATATTAATTATTTGAAGCACTGATACGAAAAGAATGTATTTTAACACTTTACAACGCGCATTAAAGGGACATTTTGTCAATCTTATTGTTATTATTGTATATTATTTACATTATATCTCTTCTTCTGAATCTCAAATTACCATTAATATGTTATTGTTCATAAATTGCTCGTTGCATCACGATCAATGAAAATTTTGCGAGTAATTTTATTGTGTATGAAATTTATCGAGTTACTCGAGTGGTCATTTAAAAAGTTAAAAAAAAAGAGACAACAGATTTTTAACACCAATGTATAGAATTTCGACGAGATATTTCGTACACTTACCACTTCTCTACTGTTTTTCCTTATTTTGATGGCTCTCCACGACCGCGCCATCTTTTATATCTTGCTGTATGTTTTACTTATTTTATTTATTTTAGGAAGTGCTGGATACGATATTAAATTCTTAAAAGATATATCAGTATGATTTTATTTAGTCATGACTTGCAACTTTTAATTCTACGTTAAAGCCATTAAATTTTATTTAAATTTTCTGACTCTGGCTCTCTTAATATACAAAACTCGTGAAACAAGTTAATCCAAACAAATGAGGAAAATTTGTAAATTTCCAAACAAATCATTTTTGTCTCGATAATATCTTGTCCGGAATTATAAATTTGATGTATTTAATGATAGGTACGATGGACACAATATGAGTTACCTCTTCTAACAATGCATGAGATTTATCTTTAAATGTAGTTAGAACTACCGCAATACGAAAGCGGATTTGGCAAATGCGATATCTTCCAGTCTTCGTTTTTAATGAATTCGTTCGTAGTCCGTGAGTAAACGGAATCGATTAACTGACGTATCCGAAAACGAGACGAAAACGATATTGTTCAGGAAATACGCATGGCTTCACGAAACGAAACTAACTCACGCTGACGTTTGCACCGTGCCAGTGTTTTGCAAATTCACACAAACTGTTTGTTTCATATCAGTCGAGTAAAAATTGCATTTTGTGCACGTGAGGCTGTTTATTCACGGTGCTTCGTTACGCACTGTGAGTGCAACTATGTCGATTTCGATGGAAAATATCCTCAGTGCACAACAAGCGCCGTTCGTTTCGTTCGATGGAGCCACGCACGGACGCTTGTGGCGTCCATTTTATTATTGCAAAAACGATGAACGGAAGACGTGCACGCGCGCGCAGATACTCACGTCGTATCGTTCCTGGATGTGCGGGCCGGCTTGCGCTATGTACAACGTACTGGCAGTGTCGAATACTAATTCCTGCGGGATTCTGGTAACTTTTTGCCGAGCCATCTCGTGGCAATTGAAATATAAGGTGACGTCGTTGATAGAAACCTTAATGACAATCTTTGACCATTTCTTTGTGAGCTTCGGTACGGTAAATTTTGCCACTTCTTCCGAGTGCGAATGCTCGTCCGAGTTTGTGTAGACCAGCGAGACGTTCTGGTTCGAACCGGGCCCGTCCTTCAAGTATTATCAGGAAAATATAACACTTATGTTAACAGCCATAACTTACTTACGTAACTCAAATATATAAGAGGAGATATGTACAAATATATAGCATAACACTATTTTCATAAAATTTTAATAGAGAAAGTTCGTAAATAATTGGTTGCAAGCAAAGTTACAGGCGGATATTATTATATAACTTACCGAAATTCTAATGCCCAATTGGACAACAGTTTCGAAGGGATTAAGGACGGCGAAGAGATAGCTCGTTCTGAAGGAAGTCGGCTTGAATGTGGCCGCCAGAGTAAACTCGGCTGGCAACTTTTGCGGAAGGTACAATCTGTAAGGTTGTTTCACCTCGGAGCCAGGTCGAAAACCAAATGCTGGAAATCCATCTTCGCCGTCCTCTATGTAAAGATTATTATCGTCCGTCATCAAAAACAGTGACGCCTGCATTAAATCATAGACTACTTCTGAAAACACAAATGTCAATAATTTCTATTAAATCGTGTAATTATGGAAAAATTATACAAACTATTATACACATATTGATATGGTGTTCAAGTTCTAACTAATTAAACTAACGATATTATTAATAATATTAAATCAAAATATCTCCTGCGTAAATTGGTTAGATCATGTATATATACATTAGGTATTTAGGACAAAGATTATTTACGCAAGTCGAATGGGAATAAAGTTAATTAAGAAAACTGTTGAGAACGGGACATTTCGTGAAAAAGAGTTTGGGAGCGAGAAAACTACGGACGAGTAGTTCCGAGTGAATGTAGAAACTTTAATTAATTTTTCACGCGCGCGGGTTTTAAGAGTTGTGAGAGAGATTAGTAAGTGATATTCTAATAAGATTATTTTTAGAGAAAAATTATGTCTAAAGACTAATGTAGCTAGTTTGTAAGTTTGTCGACTGTGCAAAATCGCGATACGTTCGGAAAATCAATAGGCAAAAGAATAAAATTTTCATTTTTAAATAATGATAATCACAACGACAAGAAGTAGCATAGCGCTAACTGTAAAGTACTATGATCCCTGTATGGCAGTCCGTGCATGGCATGATTAAGATCATAATTCTTTAATGTGTACAACAACACCATTTTGCTCCCCATGCGTCATGCTCCGATCCATGACACCCGATACATCGCGTGATATTCCACGGCTGAAAGCTCGATAACCGATATTTATTGTCGGGGACACGAGTCTCTCGCTGCAGTAAATCGCATTAAAAATCCTTCAGGCGACCAGACGTCGACACGCTCGACTAGTCATTGCTAAAAGACGCTTCCTGTTGCACTAAATCAAATAGGATACTATTAGTATCGGATGAATGATTCATTAACAAATACTAAAATAGAGATGTAATTATTGCTTTCGATAACCACATAAACATCGTCGTTCATGAAGATCGTATTATTACTTATATATAGAGAAAAACTTTTTTTCTCGTATATAAAAAGAATATTTGTGAATTTGTAATTGTATGGTTTTTTTGGAAAGAAAAGTTGAAATATTTTACTTTTAACAAAATTTATTTTTATTTTGGAATAGTACTCTATTTAGATTAAAAAAAAAAATAAAGTAATATTCTATACTCGTGCTCGCTTCATATTTTTTCTCATACATTCTCCTATCATAAGCAGCTGCACTAACAACGAAATTCGTGAGCAACCTAAAAATGTCCGATGAAAATACAGGTAACAGCGTGTCGGCGTACGTGCAGGCAGGTTAAATTATCGCCACGCCAGAAGTAATTTCCAAATTGCATTTGGCTGCACCATATTCTCGTGTAACATATTCTATGGGCAAAAGCTTTGAGTGCCCAGCGAGTTCTGGTTTTCGTTGCCGAACGAATTCTGATTTTCGCATTCAATTTGTTGTTCATAGATTGTATTTTCGTCAACCGCGCAATGTTGTTTTTTTTTTTTTACGAAAATAAACTATTTTTTTATTCCAACACACAAACAGCAAATATGAAACTGAACGATGTTCGTAAAATATAAGTTGTTTATTTCTTTTCCATTTCAAAATGGATAAAGATGCAATAGAATACATATGTTTTCTCTACATTTGTTTTGAAACTTGTTTGGAAGGCCTATAACCACAGTAAGAAAGATTTCAATGCTTGATGGATTGCAGGAATTGATATGCACGGTGATTTGAACGCTAGTGCAAGAACTATTCGAACACCTTCCTCCTACGCGTGTATACGTGCCTACCGTAGATCTTTATTTTGCGTCAAAATTTTGCGATAAGTTCTAATTATTTTGAAGGTCAAATTAGATAGCACAGTATAAATTATCAAAAGAGATGTAGATAATAATTAAAACGCGCGAACGACATTTATGATCTTTTAACGCATCTCACGAACATACGTACATTCTATTGTTTTTGATTATCGCTATACGAATATGAAGAGAGCACGTTCGCAGGAATAAAATTCCAATTACAAATTATTTAAATTTTGTTTATGTTTAATTTATTTTAACATTAATTAATACTTTTCTCAATAATTTTATCACTGTAGAAGTCAAATGTGTCACAATTAGCGGATATATTCAACACCGTCAAATTCTCAACACAACAAAATTATAAAAATATGAGAAATGTACTATTAATAATAATGTAAATTTTCGCGAGTGGTTATTATTACGTTTTGAAAATTATTATACTTAAATCTCTCTTCTCACATATAATTATAATCTCTACAGTTTTAGGTCGTTATAATTTTAATCGTAATAATAGTGTATATTAAAAACAACTATCAGTTTTCATCACAAAATAAATGCTCGATTTTCACATAAATAATAAATTATTGACTTATTGTTTTTGCAACCAATGCAGCTATTTCAGCAATAAAGATCTAACTGAATTTTATCGCTTATCGATTGTACGCAATTGTATTTCGCTTCGATGAATTTGACATTTTGTCCCTACAATGAAATGTATTTCAAATACATTCTAGCGGAAAGTAGTGATATGAATTTTGTAAAAGCGTAAAAGAGAAAGAAACAACATATGTGAAACAGAGCACACGTGTGAGGCTATTATATTTTGTCCGAAGATAATTAGATAATAAACTATACCCCGCTGTGCTAATTAACGCTCGAAAAAATTATTATGAATTATTATAATAATGACGCGCATAATATACGATTTCATGCAAGTCCGCTTCGCCATAATCCTCGCTTCCTTCATATTCCGCGCAAATCCATTTGCATAAATCCGTATGCCAATTCGCTGTGTCAGCTCGTTACAACTTTCCCGGTGGCGCACACAGGAATCCATAATTCTTGCAAATCGAACAAACACTGAACCTTTCAATACGAAGCGAGATGCAAATGTCTTCTTTAAGCTGTTGACGCGCGAAAAGTGTTTTGTGTTTTGTCTGTTTCTTATCAAATTTCCGTACTGCAATGTAGTTTTTATTGTTTTTGTTTTAGCAATGTGTTTCTCATATATTCTGAGCATCTTATTTTTTCTGTTTGATTTTTGGAGATACATATTATATTTTTCATGCTTTTTCGTGATAATATCTATCATGCATATTATTAGCATAGAGACTTGTTCTTACAATGTAATTTTTTCCTACTAATATTTTTAAAAAATTATTTCACAAAAAAAACCAAGATATTGCAAATAGAATACACGTGTAGGTATCATCGTCGTTATTGCAAAGCCTGGTCGCTCTTCTTCGTGAGAACGAAACGTGAGAACGGCGTCCCAGGAGATGTTGTTCTTGCATTCCAGCAAGTTTCTCGATCTCTCTCTCTAGGGATGGCACTTTTCTTCGGTCTGGTGCGACGCAATTGTGCGATTTTTGCGAACGGTTTATTTCTGATGCGCAAAGCGACTTGTGTCTCGTATCGGTTTTGCACCAAATATTTTAATTCATCAAAAATGTCAAGTTGCTTATTTCATTTTTACAGTTTTGGCTATACTTCATTTGAATATATATAGATTTGCGGATATAAATAAGCTGTACGTAAAAGATGTAATAATGTAAAATTATCTCATTTGAAATTTCAAAGATCGATGAAAAAGTTTCTTAAAAAAGAATAAATTTTAGAATTGCGATGCTTTCGTAAAACAAGCAATATTTAGTGTACGAAGAATAAAGGAGATTTGTAGAATTTTTCTTCCGCAACAAATTCCGCGAAAAACAATAGCGCGAGCGCGGTGGAAGAAGTCTTTTTCCTATCAAAAGTTCGAGTAACCAAGTGACGAACAGAAGATGGAGACTACGGTTTTGTTAAATACAAGAATAGTCTATCTACTGCTTTTGTATTGTTTGTTGGTACATCGAAAACTGCCGGCAACTACTGGTCGCGTTGCGCAAGCGACATTGTATTTTTAAGTCTTATAAGCTTCTGTTTACTGTGCATGGAAAATATACGCCGAAATGATTGTGTCCGGGTTTCACTGTTTATTCTGCGGAGAACGTAGAATAAAAATATTCTCACGCTATATAGAGTGCATACGCGACATACGCGCAAAATTGCATCACCAAAATGCACTTGTTTTCAAACAATTAGCACCGCTATACAGACAAAAATATTTTCTATTAAAGTTTGTCCAAAAACGAAACGCAATATTTTTTTACAACTTCTCTCTTCTTCTCTGCAATAAGATTTTATTAAATTTTTATTATAATATACGTTTAGTTATTTTTTCTTTTTTAATTTCGTATTATTTGCAAAACTTAACAAATTGTGTGATTAATTTTCTGTTCGCAAATATTCGCGGCCAGTGAATGCAGACGTTTCATTTTGTCTTTATGATAGAAAGTAATTAATAAAATAATTCTAGTTATTACGATAAAATGTAATGCTGCGTACCGAATACTTTGCGATGACAGTTTGCGATCAATTCCCTGCAAATGGTTCGCATCGCGATGCAAACTCATTTTCGCCGCATTATTTCTCACGTAAATTCAACGCGGCAATAGGAAGAAGTTAAACTGTGAAACAAACGGCGCCGCTTAGAAGTTTGTAGCTCAGTGCGAGGTTGAAGAAGTTGCGGGCGGAAGCGGAAAAGCGAAATCAGATTACAAAAGATTGCAGCTAAGAGCACCCTTTTCTCCCCCCTTCCCCTTCCGTTCCCCGCTGAAACAAACCTCGGGCTATGGCGAGAACAGTTAAGAACGAGAGATCGAACAGAAAAACAGGTGCAACCGCTGCCTTCGAGTAAATCGAGCAAATCGAGTTTCGAGCAAATTTTCCTCAGAGTCTTGTTCGCGAATTTTAGCGGTCGCGCCCAATGTGTAATGTCTGACCAGTCGCAAGTAGTAATCAAGTGTTTTTGTCAAGCACGTCAGTTCCAGGGCTGGCCAGCAGATGGCGCCAGAGAGGCCGTTGACCCGAGTCTAGTTCGTTACAGTCGGTACCTACTTTATTGCCCAGCAAGGTATGCATTTCTTTACAATAGTTCTGGTTTTCTTTGAAACTTTTTGTCTCGCGCA